CCTGGCTGGTATGCCTACCCCCACCCCTCTTACTTTCACAGGACTCTGACATTTGAGACCCTGCTTAATGAGGTTCTTTGCACTGAGGGCGACCCCCCCTCATTTGGGACAGGTTAAGCAAGTCCTGCTTTCCTGTACTCCTACAATAATTATAATATTGGTCACCATATTTCACTACCCCTGCATTCAGTACCAAGGTCATTTGTATCCAACACCAAAGTTGATCACTTTGACAAAGATGTACCTGATGAATATGTAAACAGAGCAGGAGCAAACTACATTTACAAGAACACACACCCACAGTCTCTTCTCCTCTCAGCTAGCTCTCAGGGAAGCATTGATTCAGACCCTGCTTATACCTGCACTTGGAAATTAGCCCCAGTTTCAGCCTAGTGTAAGTTGACCTTGTGTAAAGCCTCAGGCAAGGAAAAACAATGGAACAGGATAAAATCTACAATGCAAGTCACTTTCCTGGTCTACACTTGGGGTTTGCACCACTGCAACCACACCTTGGGGCACATCCCAAGTGTTGGCAAGGCCTGAGTCACAGGATGGATCCCATCCTTTGGCATGTACACAGATCTTAGTTGAAACCAGCCATTGATCCAAATGCATTTCACTAGTCAGAGCCAGGCAATTTTTGAAGAGGTGGGACACAGCTTCTTACTCATACATATGCCACTTTGCATTAGCTTTTCAAGTCTCCACATAATAATTCAGCTACTATCTTTCCCCCAAGATGTTCATTTGTCCAACCAATCCTAGGGCTGATTACTCAACTGGTTGTTCCAATATACACCAAATACTTTGATTAATTTCTTGGGGTGGGGGCAGGGAGCAGTGGGGAAGGAAGCACATTTTTTTTTGCATATTTTCCTAGGTTTTTTCATTCTTAACTAGCAAGAGATGGGGAGTGCTTTTGGGTAAGAGATTGAGGAAGCATACAGGAGCTCAACCAGTTACAGTAACTATCTGTTGCAAAAGCCTCAAGGCTTTTTGTTGCTGCTATAAACACACTTGCCAACATACAGAGAAGAGGCACGTTGTAGTTTTTACTTCAGGCAATCCACTCAACACCCAAAGGCAACCCTTGAAGGGTTAGTTTACATAAGTTGTTTTTACAACTATTTACATCATTCAGGTTTTTTACTGGTTTGAAAAGGTCAGCTAACTGCACCAGGAAGAAGACACATCCCTTTTGTTGCCCTGCTCGCTGTGGGCACAGGTGTGGCGTCACATTAGCAAATACTGAAATGGAAAGTTTTGATAACAGCGGTCCTGACCTCTGTTGCCCCTAGTAAGCTATTCCCATGCTGTGAAGGGAAAAAGTCAGCCTTATGAGACAGGGCTTCTCACTTCCACTAACCTTAGGCTATGCCTACACTGCTTCACAGGTAGGACTATAGGGTGTGTGAAGTCCATTACTGTGAACTTGGGATCTTTAAGTTCCCCTGCACAACCACCATGTGGGGGAGTTACAGCCCAGCACAGCACTTTGGTGTGCACTGCTATCTACATCCCCTTATCCAAATTGCAGGACAGCGTACCTTAGTCTCACAGGGCTTCACTGATTATTTAACCCTGGCTGTAAATTGCTATCTAGCATGAGGGTGGCAAAATGTGGCAGAGAAAAGTATTACAGGTGAAGTTTAGCATGTTTTGTGACCAAATCCATCACTGCCACAACAGCATTATGTGCACTAAAAGTGACAGTTTTAGTAGCTACTTTACCAGGCAACTTGTTTCCTAGGAAATTTGAGAATAAACACAATAGAAAAAAATATATACATGAAGTTCTCAAAAATCTGAAATGTTTAGTGGATACTGGGTTAAACTGAGGAATTAGTGATGCTTCAGCTAGCATAGAGGGCACAGGTCTGCCATGACCAGGGTCCCAGGGAGGCCACACTGAGTTTGCTCAATTAGGGAAACTGCAAAGAATGGGGCAGCCAGTCCCCTAAAAGATGGCAGATATTCCAGTACTTAGTTTCACCAATCCAGGAACAAAACAGCTTCTACAATACCTTACTGGCCAAAACACAGTTCCCTTAAAAGCAACCCAGACTTGGGCTTCTTCCCAGATAGCCAAGTCAAATATAGGGATGGGGATTACTGAAAATCTTGTTCGTCATATAAAAAGGTCTACCAATCCCAAACGATCAGACACATTAACCACCAAGTTAATGAATATTTCAGATCTTACCCAAATACACGCTTACAACCAATCCTTTAGTATCTAATATTTAAAGGTTTATTCATAGAAAGAAAAAGGTGAGAGTTAAAATTGGTTAAAAGAATCAAATACATACAATAATTGTATTAGGCTTAAAGCAGTGATGGTGTAAACTGCTAACTGGTTAAGTCTCTGGTTGCTCCCAATTAATTGGAAGGTCCTCAGTCTCTTGGTTAGACTGCTCCCATTAGTATATGTCCATAGTCCAAAGATCAGAGCAGGAAAGAGGCAAAATGAAGATGTTTCCAGAGCCTTTTATAGCTTCTGCCATGTGGAGGGAAACTTCATTGTTCCAAACAAAGCCCTTAGCACAATTTGTGGAAAAATATAGGCACACAAGATGGAGTTTAGTATCACATGACCTAGTCACATGCCCTTGAATGCTTTGATGAGTCAGGGCAGCCTTTACCCATACTCTAGCTAGAACATCCACAGGAAGGTCCATCAGATAGAAATAAGACTCTACTATAGTCCATTGTGAGAGTTAAGTGCCCTTTGAGGGGCTACACTAGAAGTAAGCTGCCTTGTGGGTGTGATCACAGGAGCGAACACAGGCCTACAGTCAATATTCATAACTTTAGATCTAAAACTGATACATGCATACAAATAAGATTATATTCAGCAAACCATTACCTTTCCATTGACAGTTTACATAACATACTTTGTACAAGATTTGTTGCAATTATATAACCATGGTAGCAACAATGATCTACATGGTCATATTTTAACCATATAATGTCACATCTGCCCAGAAACATATAGTCTGTTGTAGGTCATTGTACTAAAGAATAGGAAGCCAGAGCTGGCTGGAAATAGAACATAGGAAATGCATTGATTCAACCCATCTCCTGACCATAGCTCTGTAGGATTGGCCTCTAACGTTGCATTAAACTTATATAAAATACAAACAAGGAATTAGTATCCAAACTTTGAATGGCAAATAGAAAAAGGGCAGAAATTAAAAAGATCCCCCTCCCCCCCAAATCCTGCAAAAGAATTCATTTGTCCTCACACTCAGAATCTCATTAAGTCAATAGGATTCCTTACAAACATAAGGGCCATCCACATAAATGTCACAGTAGAATCTAGGCCTGTTAAATATGTTCATATTTTATGCATACCATACTTCTGCTGAAGTGGTCAGGAGCCAACTGACCACTATATTGGGGTCAGAAAGGAATTTTCCCCCTGGTCAGATTGGCAGGGACCCTGAGTACTTTTTTTCTTCCTCTGCAGCATGGGGCTTGGGTTACTTGCATGTTTAAACTAGTATAAATGGTGGATTCTCCATAACAAAGTCTTTAAATCATGATTTGAGGACTTCAGTAACTCAGTCAGAAGTTAGGGGTCTATTACAGGAGTGGGCAGGTGAAGTTCTGTAGCCTGCGATGTGCAGGAGGTCAGACTAGATGATCAAGATGGTCCTTCTGGTTTTAAAGTCTTATGATATCTGCTCTGTAGGAGTCTGATGATGCTGCAGTTCTAAAAAATCACAGCCACCAGGAGGGGCTGTATGAGAATACTACAGCTCTCCATCTTTTAAACCAAGAAGATATGCCCAACATGGACCAATTTCTGAGTGTCTCACATTTGTTAAGAAATCACTGCATAACATGATACAGGAAGGCAAAAAATGTGTCTTTTTAGGCCAATATCACATGCACACAAATATGATCTGGCAAAGTCTGAAGTTATATTAGCATATACTAACTATAGCTAATCACAAAAAATAGATTGAGGACAACTACTAAGTCATATAGTCCATCCTCCCTGTCAGTGTAAATGTTCCCTAAAGGATATTTTCGAGTGCTTTGCACACTCCAGTTTTAAAAGTAACCCCTACAATAGTTTTCCCTTCACATCAAAACCAGGGCTGTTTTAAACAAACTTATTACTGCTATCACAAATCCAATATACAGAACAGGATTTTATTTTTTCATGCATTCAAAAGGAATTTTAGATCATTCTAATTCCATTGATGCTTGCTCTTGAACATTCAACATCACCACATGATTTAATCAGTAAAAGATACAGATCATTTTTCATCCTGAGCTGGTATGCAAGGCATACCTTCTGGATAAAGCACCACTGTAACTGTATGCTGGCACACCATACAACTGCTTCTAGTTGATGTTTGAGATAGCTTTTCTAAGAAGGAGATGTAAAGAACTACATATCAGGTGACACAGACAACCTCAAGGTATTTCACATGGCCTGGACAAATTCAACTGAAGTGGAAAGGAAAACAATTTTATAACCTATTACTCCTACACCCTATTACTCATATCTGGAAAATATAAATAAATCAAGAGGGAACCACTGAAGAAATATTAACTCTTTGGCAACACTTTATGAGGTAATAGGATAGCAGGGGGAAAGAGCTTTACTAATTACCTGGAATTACTGTAGTGGTTTAATCTAAACAAGTTTATTTTTTCTTGATTATGCCAAAAAATGGCACTGTGTTGGAGTCATATCAAGTTAGGGTTAGGTCTGAAAACAACTTTTTTTTTTTTTAAAGATAGCTTGTTACCTGCAGCCCCCAGAGTTATTTTGTGCACTAGCTGCCACTAAGCCATTTAGAAATAGAAGTTATGAAGACTAAGTTGAAGCCTAAATGAAAGCAAGAACACCAGGAAATAAACGATTACTGAAAGTGACAGAGTCTAGTGTAGTCAGCACCCTGGGATGTGGATCATGGACCCAGTTAACCACAAAAGGTGCTCTTATAAAAAGTCCTCATGCTGTAAAGAGCCAAACAGTTTACCTCTGATTAGTTTGCAGAAGAAAAACGAGTCAGCTGTTCAAGCTTCCAGTCTACTTCTCAGGATCAGTCTTTCATGAGAGTATTGAAGTGCTGTGTTGCTTCTATAAACCCAGGCCTGAAAAGAAATTACACAAAAAGTTCAAACCTCTAGACTGTTTTCTAATATCACTCCTCCTGTGGATTTGCAAGTACACAGGACTTCTAGCACACATGCACACCTTCCTTTTCTTCTCAAGCATCTGAACTAGAATATAGATGGGAGGAAGCAGAAGTACTTCCCTTCACCACAGCCCCCTCCTGACTGTTTCTGTAGGAAGGACAGACAGCAATAGCCCTCCCCAGGAAAGGGGGATTAACTGCACACCCAGGTGGGCACCCTACCAGTATTATACATGTGAAGAATCATTCCAGGTGAATCTCATTCCTGGTGGTTTTTGCTATCTACATGTGGTGGAGGATAGTTTTGCTGTTAATGCACTGGACCTGGATTCAGGAGATCTGGATCCAGTTACTAACTTTGTGACTTGCCCAAGGTCTCACAGTCTGTAGCAATCTCACAGCAGCTCAGTTCCTCCTCTCTCAAGTGGGGGATAGTAATACTTACCTCTCTCACTCTGGACTACTTAGACTGTGTAAAAAGAGTCCATGACCTGAAGAGCTTACCGTGTATGTAAAGCATCCAGCACAAAGGGCGGGGAGGGGGGGGGGGGGGAAAAGGGTCCTATCTCAATTGAGACCTATAGATTCTACTGTAATACAAATTAATATGGAATTAAGACTTCAGCAAGAAAGACAAAGATAGAACAGCACTAGGGTACAGCTCAAGTGAAAGGACTGGCAGGTGCAACAGACTCATTAACCTGTTATGTGGACCAGCCACTGAAGAGGAGACAGATGCTCACATTCGTCACCTGCTAAGGTCATCACAAGTGACTGAGGTTCACAGCAGTTCAAGTCTCTGTACGGACCACTTGTGTTGACTGTTTGCCATCAGTCATCACTGGGGATTAGATTCTATTCTATAGACGGGTTTATACCATGCTCATTACTGTAGTATCTGAGCATCTTCCAGTAGTACGTTCAGTAACGAGACTGTACATCGGTCAGGTGTTTGTTCTCTCATCCTCCCCCCAGAGGGAGACGCATGTGCAGTGGAGTGTTGTTTTGGGTAGGGTCGTGTGCATGCAGTAAGTGTACCTGTTGCTATGCGTATATGTTACAGAAGGCAAAAATCCCTGAGTTCCTGGGGGAGGAGTTCATTCCACAATCTCAAACCACCCCCCAGAAAAGGGTCTGGCTCCTGCACAGATGAGCTTTGTTGTTATTGTTGAGAATTCTGTTGTGCCAGAGGAGCAAAGTTGTCAACCGTGGTCTTCATTGAAGAGCTTTAAACAGTCTTCGAGCCCAAGACTTCTTGCACTAAAAGAATGAGCCTCTAGTGCTTGAGCTAAAGGATTAAGGTTACGAACTAGTATCTGTACCAGACACACACACACACGCACTAACCTCATGTGTAAGCCAGTGACTGAAGGGGCACAAGAGTAATGTGGGTTACATTTATGTGGTATTGGGAATAGAGGAAGGTGGGAAACAGTTTTCCTGTACTGTGAACATTTTAATGGTTTTAAAAGTATCTCCTCTTCTTCAGAGAGTGTTTGTTTTTCACAAAAAAGAAGAGATTGATGCCCCAAGCATAACTGAAAGACAAGTGGTTAGGGCACTTGCTCTGCCTGACTCAGACCAAGGACTTTATCTTAAGTCTCCCACACTCCAAGTGAGTGTCCTACCCATAAGACTTTTGGCTATTCTCCCAAAAAATCCCTTCCTGGACCTGACCCCATCCCCCCGCACCAAATAAACAAACAAGTTTCATTTAAACCAGTGCTTCTCTAACTTCATTGCACCGCGAGCCCTTTCTGACAAAAGTTATTACACGACCCCAGGAGGGAGGACCAAAGCCCAAGCCCCCAGGGCAGTGGGGTGAGGGGGAGCCAAAGCCCAAGGGCTTCAACTCCGGGGGTGGGGGGAGGCTGTATCCTTAGCCCTACCACCCAGGGCTGGAGCCCTCGGGCTTTGGCTTCAGTCCCGGCAGTAGGTTTACCAACTTTCCAATTGCACAAAACTGAACACTCTGGCCCCACCCCCTCCCCTGCCCCTTCTCTGAGCCCCACCTCTTCTGAGGCCCCACCCTCCAATCACTCCAGCCCCACTCCCTCAGTCGCTCGCTCTTCCCCACCCTCACTCACTTTCACTGGGCTGGGACAGGGGGTTGGAGTGCAGGAGAAGGTTAGGGCTCTAACTGGGGGTGCATTCTCTGGCCAGAAATGAGAGGTTCGGGATGCAGGACTCCAGGCTGGGGCGGGGTGCGGGAACAGGTGAGGGATTTGGAGTGCAGGAGTGGGCTCAGGCCGGGGATGAGGGATTTGGAGTGTGGGAGCAGGCTGAGGCCGAGGGGTTTGCAGTGCAGGAGGGGATGTGGGCTCCGGCTGGGGGTGTGGGCTCTGGGGTGGGGTCAGGAATGAGAGGTTTGGAATGCAGAACAGGTTTCAGTGCTGGGGCAGGGGTGCAGGCTCCAGGAGGGGCTCAGAGCTGGGGTGTGAGAGAGGGGTTCCAACCTGAGGCAGGGGGTTCTGGCCAGGCAGCACTTACCTCAGACGGCTCCTGGTTGGCAGTGCAGCGGAACTAAGGTAGGCTCCCTGCTTGCCCTGACTCCATGCTGTTCTTGGAAGTAGGTGGCATGTCCGGCCTCTAGGTGGAGGTGTGGTCAGGCAGCTCTGCACAGTGCATGCTGCCTATGCCTGCAGGCACCGCCCCCGCTGCTCCCATTGGCCATGGTTCCTGACCAATGGGAGTTGCGGCACTGGCGATGGGGATGGAGCGGCACACTGATCTTCCCTGATAGCCCTGTACCTAGCGGCCGCAGGGACATGCTGGCTGCTTCCAGGAGCTTCACAGAGCCAGGGAGCCTGCCTTAGCCCCCGCTGCACTGCCGACCGGACTTTTAACAGCCTGGTCAGCAGTGCTGACTGGAGCTGCCAGGATCCCTTTTCGAGCGGGCATTCTGGTCAAGAACCAGACACCTGGCAACCCTACCTTGCGGTGGGGTTCGGGCCCCAGCAAATCTATCAGCAGCTTTGGCGACCTCATTAAAATGGGGTCACAACCCACTTTGGAGTCCCAATCCACAGTTTGAGAACTGCTGGTTTAAACCAATAAATGCCAGCAAAGAGATAATGATTTTCTGATAAAAAAAAGTTTGTTAAAAAAAAATTGCTGATCAGTTCTAATTGGGATACCTTCAAACCAAGAAAAGTAAGTAAGGAAAAGCAGCAATTTAGGAAGAAGAGGGAAAATGTTGCAAGTGTGAACCTAATATCCTAATGGCAGAAATTACAGAGAAGGGAAACCCAATTAACATTTAAAGTTATCTTTCTCTTAGAAAAGTACACAGTGAGATGAGGCCACCCAAGGTATACAGACTCCAAAGCAATATATAGTGCACTACTTTGTTTTCACTAAGATATTGAGCAAGCAGCCCAGTCTACTGCTGGATTCCAACCTTCCAAGAGAACAGACAAGCCATTAATCAGAATATTCCACAACAGATCTCCTTCAGGTGATAAATGAACTGCAGGAGAAAAGGAATGAATATAAACTATCACTGTTTGTCAGTTATGCAAAAGCTTTCCACTCTACTTGGAAAAAAGTATCCTATAAATAGAGCTCTTCGGTTCCAAAACAGCTGCAGAGTTGTGTTTGGGTTTTGAAAATACAAAATATTTTTTAAAAACCCCACAATTTCAAAGTAAAAAAAAAAATCAAGACAGGAATAGAAGGCGGACATTATACCAAACTATTTCCAATGAGCCTTAGATGCCACATACTGCATGAACAGTGGAATATATGATTGTGAGGAATGTGATAACAGTTCTGTACTGATAGTACATTTATCCTAATATGCATTTGTCCATAAGTTATACATCTAGCTATTTTATAGCCACTTTTAGGACATTAAAGTTGGTGAACATCTGTCCTTTATAGATCATGAAAAGGATCATTCGCAAGAGGTTATATAATAGCATTATAAGAGTACAAAGGCGGACATGTTCACTACATACAGTGGTGTGGTAATTGATATCTGTATGTAGACATCCATTGTACACCAGTTATACATAGTGGGCATACCTAATATAGATATTTATCTATGACTACACCATACATAAATATATCAGATTAGAACCAAGCAAAAACATCTCTCAGGCATATAACTGGAGCATACTAATGGATATCTTAATTTTCAATTCTGGGCACTTCATTATGTAAGTGACACTCACAAGTGGGAGAGCAACAAATTTGACCAAGGTCTAGAGAAACTGATTTACAAGGAAAGATTTTTAAAAAGTTGAATAGAGAGATTACTTAAGTGAAGAGTAAGGAGAGATCACAATTACAATCTGGAACTCAAACCACTTTTTGATGTTCAGAAAAGTTTGGTTAAATGCTTCCTCATTCCTTCACTTTGTTGCCTTCATTTTGTTGACCAAGCCTGCTCTGCATTGCAAGTGAGGCCTGAATCTTCCCCAGTAGCAATGACTCAAAGAATGAATCAAAAGATAGAACAAACTTTAAATTTAGAATGACTTCAGCTCTTCCCAAAACTAAACCTAGGCTTGCTGAATATGCAGCAGGTTTCCTTTGACAGAATTACATTTTCTCCTGAAAAAGTCTTTAATGTTTCTCTTCATTTACTCTGCATCTCATTCAGTTACTTGTGATTAATTATGCAGGAATCCTTTTAACACTATGCTCTGCTCTAGATTTATACATGAAGCAGAATGCAAACAGAAAACAGGAGAAAGATGGGTTCAAAAATTCTAACAATTGTGACCCTTGAATTTGGGTTTTGTAGTGTTTTATTCATATCATTTTTGTTCTTATTGTATAATCTACCCAGTGAATTTTTCTGACTTTCACATTACCTACGTGTAACACACAATAGCAGCATTAGTATTGGAAAAAAATGTCAAGAGGCTTCCTTACTTTGACAGTCTCAAATAGATATTTAGCAGTTGCCAAATATCTGTGCTGATGAGGAAAGCTGACATTTTGTTATTT